ACCAAATCCCAAAACGTGAGGAGATAACCTGTGAAATGGCAGGTGCAAAATATTTCAGCAAAATGGATGCTTCGCAGGGATTTTGTCAGCTGAAGTTGGACCCAGAAAGCAGCAAGCTTTGCACCTTCAACACACCATTTGGGAGATACTGTTTTTTGAGGTTGCCATTTGGTATCATCTCAGCGCCAGAAATCTTCCACAGGGCGATGGAGTCCATAATAGAGGGTCTGGAAGGCACAAGAGTGTACATAGATGACTTGTCTGGGGAAAAACACGTCGAGAACATGACAAAAGACTAAGAGATCTCCTACAGAGAGTCCAAGTGAATGGGCTGAAATTGAACAGAAATAAATGTCAGTTTGGGGTCACAGAAATGACCTTCTTGGGAGACAAGATCTCAGGAGAGGGGGTGGAGCCTGATCTGGCAAAAGTGCAAGCAATACTGGACATGCCTCCTCCCACTGACAAGAAAGGAGTCCTGCGAGTTATGGGAATGATAAACTTCCTGGGTAAATTCATACCTAACCTCTCCTCCAAGACAACATGCCTCAGAGAGCTGCTTCAACACAACAAGGTTTTTGAGTGGAATGCTTCAAATGAAAAAGAATGGAAAAAACTAAAGGAAACTCTAACTACTGAGCCAGTTCTTACATTCTTTGATACATCAAAAGCTACAAAGATCTCTACAGATGCATCTAAAGATGGATTGGGAGCTGTACTCCTTCAAGCAAATGGAGACAAATGGCAGCCGGTGGCATACGCATCACGAACAATGACAGAGACTGAGACGCGCTATGCGCAAATTGAAAAGGAGACTCTGGGTCTAGTGTATGGGTGTGGAAAGTTTCACAGTTACGTTTATGGTTTACCAACCTTTACAGCTGAGACTGATCACAAACCGCTGATTTCAATCATAAAGAAAAACCTAAATGACATGTCACCTAGAATCCAGCGCATGATGATGAAACTGCAGCGATATGATTTTGAGTTAATATACACTCCAGGCAGGGGCGGACTGGGGCGAAAAAGTGGCCCGGGGATTAATTGACAGACAGGCCCACTTAATGCGCGGCATGTATCGGCCGGCCGGCGACGAAAGTATGTTACTTAACAAAAAACACTATGCATTTTATGTTATTTTGGACAATTATTCATATAGTAATCACATTACCTGAGCCCTTGAGTTGCCTAGAGCAAAATAGTTACAGCATATATTTAGTGATTTTAATGTTAACAGATCATTAATGCAATAACATTTGGACCCAATTTGCCTGACTTGACGCATGGAATAAAACATGGGCGTAGGAAGCATCCTCAATGTGGGTGAGACAATTTAACAGGGTGGGCAGGTGGTGGACCTCACCTCCTCTAGGGGGGTCCGGGGGCAAGCTCCCCCGAGACGATTTTTTTTAAATGTTGAAGTAAATGAAGGAAATCTTTCCACCAATAATTCCAATAAGTAATCCAAAATGTATTCACTTCAGGTTTACGAAAATAACTGTAATCAGATTATTCGTTTTTTAAATGTAACGCGAGCTGAATACAGTTACTTGAGTTTTGTATTCTGATTACGTAACACCGGAACACTTACAAATGTGGGCCGGTAGGATTTAGGCAAAAAAAAAAAGAATATATATATTTTTTTTAAGAAACTTTTTTTTTTTTTTTTTTTTTGTGGCCCTCCGGCCCACACACAGCACCGGCCCACCGGGGAAACTCCCGGTATTCCCAATGGCCAGTCCGCCCCTGACTCCAGGTAAATACATTGTACTGGCAGATACTTTATCGAGGGCACCTGTACCTAGCATTGACACAAGTCTCAGATTCACAGCTGGTGATGATGTTGAAGCACACATTGACATGGTGATGGCATCACTCCCAGCTTCTGATGTCATGTTGCAGAAAATTGTGCAGGAGACAGAAAAAGACCCTACACTACAGAAAGTGGCCTGCCATACTTTCAATGGTTGGACAAAAGGAAGTTGTCCACAGTTCTATCCTGTACGGGCAGACCAGAGTGTGGCAAATGGCCTGGTGCTGCGACAGAACAGGATTGTCATCCCTCAATCCATGCGTCAGGACATGCTACATCGTATCCACGAGGGACATCTTGGCATGGAAAAATGTAAAAGGAGGGCCAGAGAAGCAGTTTATTGGCCAGGCATCAACATGGACATTGAGAGCATGATAGGAAAATGTGACACATGTCTCAGACACCACTACAAACAAACAAAGGAGCCAATGCTGACTGCAGACCTTCCAGCTGCACCATGGCAAAAGGTGGGCACTGATCTATTCCATCTGAATGGCAAGGACTATCTTTTGTTAATAGACTATTATTCAAACTACCCTGAGGTAGCACAGCTCTCCAGTACATCAGCACTTTCTATCATCACACATATGAAGGGCTTCTTCGCCAGACATGGCATCCCACAATGTGTTGTCAGTGACAATGGTCCACAATACAGCAGTGAGGAATTCAGACGGTTTGCAGAGCAGTATGGATTTCAGCATCTTACCTCTAGCCCACTGTATCCACGGGCTAATGGGCAGGCTGAAAAAGGGGTCCAAATTGTTAAAAGGCTGCTGAAAAAAGCAAGTGATGGTAAAACTGACCCTTACCTGGCTTTGTACTCCTCAAAGTACACGCCCCATTCCTACCGTTATTGAACGTCACGAGTTCCCCGGTGTAACCAGTTCAACGGCAACAACGGCACCTAACACTGCTGAAAATGAGAGTTAGCCAAGAGGCTTTTTTTTGTCTGTTGTTGATGATGGGATATCCAATGTGCTGACATTTTGGCCGATGGTTTGGCGAGAGGAAGTTCCATTGTGTTTTCTCTTGGGACAAAAAACGTCTTTATTAGATTTAGATGTCTTAGAATAACCTTTTGTTGTTTGGCTCTAGACAAAGGTACAGAGAGGCTTCAACATCACAGACAGCAGTTTGTTTCTTTCAGATGTGATCCAGACTCTTTCATATCTTAATCAATAACTTTTATTTGCTTTAAACTTCAACCAAATAAGTAGACGTTTAGAAAAATTAGCTGTCTGGGGGGTTATTTGGAGGGCAAATAGATATTTTAGGACGTGTTGGTCTGATAAGTAATAACCGGTAAAGAGTACTGCTTGGCTGAAATAAATGCAAAAATACTCTCAGAAACTTTAACTTGAAGTACTTTCTTTCAATGGTAATTACTAAAGTCATGTTATTTCTCTCCCACACACTTCCCCCCCCGTCCTGAAACTCCTCCATTGGACTCCTGTGTTTACCTCTGTAACATAATGACATCACTTTGTAACACTCATGCTTCTTTTGGCTAGCGCTCCAACACATTGTACGATAGGCTAAGGGGCGGGACATCTCTAAGCAGTTGACCAAACACAGCACAGCTAGCCAGCTAACCAATCAGAGCAGACTGGGCTCTGGTTTCAGACAGAGGGTGAAAAGAGGTGCTGCAGCACAGGCATACTGGCATTCTGAGAGAAATAAAGAGCTTTTTGAACATTAAAGCATGGAGACATGTCACAGTAGAGGCACATATGTCCTCTTTAATTCCAATAATAACAGTTTTCAGTTACATTAGTGTAATTAAAGACTTAAAAGTATATTTTATAAAGTACCTTATCCTTACAACGTAAGGAAATCAGAGTCTACACATTGTTAAGGGATCTCATTAATAAAGTAAATTCAGTTGCCTGCTGCCCTCACAGGAGAGAAATAAACACTGATGTTGTGTGTAATGAACCGTACGCTTCAATCTGTTTATTGTACAAGTATTAACAATATAAATGATGCAATATATACATTTGTATTCAGGTTGTGGGCAGTAGGCTGTAACTGATCAATCGTTTTTTAAGCTCCTCTTTGCTGACTCTAAGGGGGCGTTTTATGAATCAATGAGGCATTACTGTAGCTTGCCTCAACAAGTCAAATATGTTTCATTAAAAACACACTGCAGTGATGAAAAACACAACAAATCAAACCACACCTCTGCTGCTACTGCACAATCATCTGAGGAGACACAATTGATCTCTTCTAAAGTATGGTGAAAAGCATCACATTTGGCACTCGTTTTTTTAATACACATTTTCATATTCTGATCACAATTGTCTTTAAATATGTAAATAAATATATGATATAAGATGTATTTGTTACAATGGAGGCAGAGTTTACACAGCATGCTGGAACTAATGGCAGGTGGGATTAGGTGTTTACAGATCTGCATCAGCATGTTTGGATACAGATTGTGCGTTAGCTCGGTATGCAAATGTTCTCACTGAAATACGAAGTAGATAATCAATTATAAAATCCCCTAGGGTTGTCAAATATCAAATTTCATTACGCAACATTGCGGCCAAAAGAATTCAGGGAGATGCTGTCTTAAGACAATGTAAAATAAAAAATATAATAATAATGCAATCTGTCAAATTTGTCTTTAAAGACCACATATTATTCTCATCTTTTGTTCACACTTGTATTATGGGTTCTTTTTAGATAACATGCTGTGATTTAGAAAGTATCATGTATTCTTCTCATAATGTCTTTCTTCGAAAAAGCCCAGTCAGCTGTGATTGACTTGAGAAAAGAAAGATGCTAATTAGGTTCTCAAGACGTGGGTGGATGAACTAAGTTGTGGGGAGGTTTATTCTAATGAGCTCAAATGTGACACAGGAAGAGGAGCCACATCTGAATTGCTTGTTGAATCACATGACTAAGGCAGCATATTGAAAATTGTGAGTTTTTTGCCATATGTCCTTGTTTCCAATTTTTTGTGGCAACTAGCGACCATCAAGTTTAGAGAGATGCAGATATAGAGTTCAAAAGTTGGTGGAGGAAGGAGAAGCGCAATAATGATATAAACAATTTATCACATACATTACCTAAAAAAACACAAAATGTTTTTCAATCCCATTTTTAAATACCATGGTTATTGTAGTTGTTGGGTACTTCGTGACACCCCTAGAACTGTCACTTAATGTTCTCTTTCCTTTTTCAGCGGTCTGGAAAGGGTAAAGGAGAGGGAGATGTGATGCCAACGCTGGACATGGCGCTCTTTGATTGGACAGACTATGAGGACATGAAGCCTGTGGACATCTGGCCCGCCTCCAGGAAGAAAGGTTGGCTTTATTTCATTAAAAAGCTCTGATTTGAAAACAGGTTTTGTGAAAAATGGCCATATTAAATCCTTATAATCTCAGTTACTACTTTGAAGAGTACATATCATGCTCATTTCCAGGTTGATATTTGTATTTTGTGCCACTACTGTGACATGTCTATGCTTTAATGTTCAAAAAGTGCCTTATTTGTCTTACACATGAAACGCCCCATAACATAATGACATCACTAAATAATAATTGCGCTTCTATTGGCTAGCACTCCAACACATTGTACGTGATAGGCTAAGGGCGGGGCATATCTAAGTGGTTGACTAATCACAACAGAGCCGGCCAGCTAACCAATCAGAGCAGACTGGGCTCTGGTTTCAGACAGAGGGTGAAAAGAGGTGCTGCAGCACAGGCAGTATGAGACAAATAAAGAGCTTTTTGAACATTAAAGCATGGAGACATGTCCCAGTAGAGGCAAATGTGAAAAAGAGATGATAATGTCCTCTTTAATAAAACTAAGACCAGTCTGTCAGTTGTTGATGCAAAAAGAAAACCTCAATGATAACTGAGTGACAGACGAATCAATCTGTTTGTTTGTTTGGGGCTATGTATTGATCAGACCTCCAGCATTCACGATCAAACTTTAATCCATTTACTTTTCTGCTGCAGACAAGAGGCGGAGTAAGAACCTCAGCAGTGGGAATGTGACTGTGGACGCTGACACCATCGAGCCGTGTGATCATCACCTGGACTGTCTGCCAGGTCAATGTCTGCATCACAGCCAGAGGAGACAGCACAACACAACATTCAAAGTCTCCGCATGACACATGACCACAATAACATCCTGCAAAGAATCAGCACAATACATCAAATCCTACACATCATTTACTAAACTAGAACTCTACTTGCAAAATTCAACGTACAGAAATGCTTTATAGAGACATCAGTAAATGTTTCTTCATACCGATCTAAAACAATATAACATCACACCTTAAATCAAACATGGCTAAATCCTGATTGGTCAAAAGATGCAATCAAACTCCACCCTTTTCAAATAATTGAGAAAAAAACACAAAAAAATGAAATTTTTAAAAGTGAAATAACCAAAACATTTCTTATTATTCTATTATTTACTTTTCATGCAGGACATCGTCCCTGATAGTAAGAATCTGATTGAGAAAAAACTTTTTTTAGGATTTGATAAAGTGGTTGAAGAGGAACATGCAAGTGGCTATTACCCATACAACTAACTCTCTCTTTTTCTATATTGTATTTGAATCATGTTCTTGGCAGTGTGTCCGAGTTTGATTGTTGATTATATAATGTGTTTGTTTCTTTAAAGGTTGGTGTTGTGACTTGAGACAACATGAGTGCCAACCTCACAACAGAGGCCTCAACAACAAATGCTACGATGACTGCATGTGTGAGGATGGTGAGTGAGGAACCAGGTCAAAAAGTTATTAATCAGATAAAGTGCTTTTCTGGTTATTCCCCGTCCCCTTGTGTGTTATGTAGCTTTTTCTGCATGTAAACGGTCTGCAGAGTCACAAACCCTCAAAGTACACCCTGTAGCGAATAAAACTCTAACACAGAAAATACCTGTCTGTGCTGCCCCAGAACGCCTCGTTGGAGATTTCTATTTTTCTTGCTGGGTACAGTGACGTGACCATACCCAAATGGACCAATCCGTGGAGCTCCTCACACGCACACACTCTCTCAGTGGCAAAACTGTGATGCGCTGGGGGGGGGGTGCTAGTGGAGCCTCGCAGCGGCGAAACTGTGGCGCGCTTACACTGTAGGTGCGCTGCGTTTGGGGGTGCAGCACCCCCCTTCCCGCACCTATGGTGCTCAGGCTGAGTTTCCCGATGTCTCGCAGACCCCACGCAGCAACCAGGAAACGACACCAGTAATAGAGCTCACACTGTCCGCTCCTCGCAGCGAGCTGCGCAACGTCCCGCCAACACGGCAGCCAGACCCCACGCAGCATTCTCATCTGTTTGTCCTTACTGGTGTCATTTTCTGGTTGCTAACGCCAATGTAACACATAATCACTGATGTTCCGCTGTAACGGTGGACTCATCAGAACAGAGTGGGCGAGCTGACCAATCAGAGCACAGTGGGCTCACAGGGAGGGGGGGGGGGGGGGGGCAGGAGCTCCAACAATCCGATGTGATTTTGGAACATTGAACAATGTAAATATATTCTAGTAGTCCTCCAAACAATGGAATTATGAAATGGCCATGACATGGGACCTTTAAGAATCTGTTTGTCAACCCAACAGCAATTATTAAATCAAATGCCTTAAAGAGGCTCTGTTGTGCTTTTTGAGGTCTCCCCTTTCCTGTAGTGTGTTATATAGGTTTTTGTGCACGTAAAAGCTAAAATCCCAAAGTTTCCTCAAGAGGGAGTTTCTCTCCCACACCCCCTGCCTGAAACACCTCCATTAGACTCCTTTGTTTACTTCCAGAACATGGTGACATCACAACGTAACTCAGGCTTCTATTGGCTAACACTACAAATAGTTGTATGTAATCGGCTGAGGGGCACACATACACATACTCTAAGAAGTTGACCAATCACAACAGAGACGGACAGCAAACCAATCAGAGCAGATTGGGCTCTGGTTTCAGACAGAGGGTGAAAAGCGGTGCTGCAGCACAGGCACTATGAGAAAAATAAAGATATTTTTGAACATTAAAGCATATAAACAGGTCACAGTATAAGCAAAACATTAAAAAAATAGGTCTGTCAAACGATTAAAATGTTTAATCAGATTAATCACAGCTTAAGCATTAATTAATCATGATTAATTACCATTCGAACTATGTCCAAAATATTCCATTTCTTTATGTATATTGTTGTGGGAATGGAAAGATAAATGAAAGAAGGCGGATATATCCATTTAACATGGTGTGAACGTTGTGATCAGCTGTTTTAGCGCAGTACTCCAATGAAGGAGGGGAGTCTCCCTCCGCAGCCGGTTGGCGTAGTTTTGGCACAATTCCGTTGTACAGACCGACGTTAACAGCAGCCCTGTCTGTGCACACGGAGACCGACTCTGTCGTCCGGTGATCTAACCCCCTTCTAGAAAAGCTTCACAAGTACGTCGGTACGCAAATGCACGTTGTGACCATTCTTTCACACACACATACGGGTATTGGGCCGAGGGCGACACCGTACTTCCGGTATCCGCCGTTTTACGCGAGGTGCAAGCAGGCCAAGGGTTTAGCCGTACACCGTCTAGGTGTTGCTAAGCTTCCTGTACTGAATATCATAGTCTATTGCCTTAATCAATATCTAGTCAACTCTAAAATACCACATATATGCAATGGCATGATAATATTATTGTGACAAGTGAGGTATTCACCTGGTGTTTCCAGAAATTAAACGTAGATGCAGCCAAAATCAACGCAGTCTGTAAGGGCAATCCGACAACCCACACAGCTCTAGTTTACGCTGGTAACGACCTAGAGCACACCCCTCAAGTCCAGAGATGTAATCCGAAGACATGCAGCGATTTCTTCGGTCGTTAATTCAGAAAAAAGTATTCTCCGTCGGGACTTCCTGCAACAACACCACGCCGTTATCTTGATTCTGATTGGCCAGAAGACATTATCAAAGATGTTCTATTGAGAAGACAATCACTACGTGACAAAAGTTTTCAAAACCGTTTCTGGTCTTCGGTATTTCCAGACAAGTGGCTGCTGAAATCAATCCTACTAACTGCTGTCTGTGCAATTTACTCCGCGCGAGTTGGCGGACTTTATTTTGCTTACATCATTGTTCATGGTGGGGCTAAGCCATTTCTTGGTATGGCTGTAGCCTACCCCAGCCATACCCTAGCGCTGCCACTGGTGGGATGTATGGGGCGGGCCATTCTGCACTTGCGTTAAATATTTTTAACGCAATTAGTTCAAAAAATGTATTATCGCCGTTAACGCGATTTTGACGGCGTTAAAAAAAATCTACCTGAAAATGTGCAGATTAGGGCCCCTTTAATTTCTGTATTTTACCACGTCCACATTTATCTGTTTAAGATATTTAGCTAACAGATTATTCATCATCTTTCAGGGTTTCGCTGTTATGCTAAATTCCACCGGAAGCGGCGTGTGACTCGAAGAAAGGGGCGCTGCGTGGTGCCGGAGTCCGTCAGCAGCGACCAGGGTGGCTTCATCACCATCTGAGGAGGACGAGGACGAGGAGGACGAGATGGAGGGAATTGAGGGAGGAAGATCCGAATTTTTTTTTCCCATAAACACTCTGACGCAGGAGCTAAGACAACTGCTGAAAGGTGATGGGTCGCTGTTTTTTTTAATTGATTCCACAATATAAATTACAACACTTGGTCATTTTATACAAAAAAACAAGGAACTGGAAAAATATTGCATTTTGGTTGGGCCACATCTTTTATCCAGCAATCCCCCACCTTTAAGCATGTTTTAAGTTTCAGTGTTAGTTATTATTAGGGCTGTGCAGTATAAATATTGATATTGTCCTAAATTTACAAAACAATTATTCATATTGCCCAGCCCTTACTCAAAAATCACTACTTTCTTTTCAAAGATTTGTTTTTCACGATGACACATTTTTGTATTTGTTCAAATCTGGTGGAAAAGTTCAACTCGGCTAGAAACACACCACTGAGTGAAATCTGTCAACATCTCATAGTTTATGCGTGGATATTCACATCATATAATATTTGATGAGTTCTTCTCCTGCGGCTGCTTGTCCTTCTGATCTGAGTCAAACAATGTTTACAAATCCTTTTTTATTATTACATTTCTGTGCTCGGAGTCCTAAACAGATGGCTTTTATTACTTCAGGATGATTCAAATTCAGTCAAGTAAGCTGTCACTCAAACTAATAATGCTTGAATCACCGTTTGGGTTTCTGTGTGAACTCTCTGCTACATTTGTTTTCTTTCTTGTCTCACATGCTGAAAATGATTTGCAAACGCTATTTGAACCCAGTCTGCTGTCCTGTTTTGTAAATAACAAAGTGTTTGAATAACTTTTTTTGTTAACTTGATACCACTTCTCTTCAAATGTACGTAACGGTAGAACGATAAACAAAGACCCTGGTTTGACCTTCCTTTTACATGTCTTAATATATGTTTTATTTATACTGTACTTAAACACATGTTTGTCCAGATGTTGTGTTTGTCCGTCTTTTTTGGTTTTCATGATTAAACAATTACTAGGATAAACATTTTGTGGTGTAAACTTTGTTTTATTTGCACCATTGACTTTCATCTTTATCAGGCACTCACATGTATTGCTAATGTCTTTGTGCTAAAAGCTATTTTAGGTTTTAAAAACTGTTACTTTCAGAGCTTTGTGTCAGAAGACTCCAAATGAAATATGTTTAATAGTTTTAACAAAACAAATGGCACGTATAAACAAATGTCACTATTAAAATACACACATAGTCATATTCACTTACGCTTTACATAATGCATGTTTTTAGATTCTCGAATACCGTTTAAGTCGAGATCTTGCACTTAAAAGTATGTGAAATTACAAATCAATCAATGTGAAATACACAATTAACAAGGGAAGTCCAGCATTTGAAAATTAAAGTATAGTAGCACAATAAGCAAAATGTCCTTTAAATTCTAATTTGTATATACTGTAGGTAAAAGTGTTCTGCAGAAAAATGTCTGTTCCAGATATTTTTTATTAAACGTTGTGGGATTATTAATAATGATGCTTCATGTGGAGAAGCATTTCACTGCTGCAGCAGCTCAAGAGAAACTGGTTTGAACTACTTGAAATACTCAAGTGGTTCCAAACCGCGGGTCAGGACTCTCTAAAGGTCACAGGATGAATCAGGGAGGTCTTGAGTTTAATAATGAGGAAGGAAAAAACAAATGCATGTTTTGCTATTTTTCAGTTGTTCTGACTTTTATCTAATCTTAGTTTTAGTTGTGAAATATTCGATCATGTTACCATTTAGGCTTGAAACTATTTTAAATAATAAATATAAATAATAACACATAACATATGCTAAGATATGAACATGTGCAGCAAGAAGACACATATGTATAGTCCAGAACTAATTATTATAAATATGAATAAACTAAAAGTAAGATAAATATGTGTAAGACATTATAGTTTGAATACATATGGGCTGACATTTTAAATGCTCATATTAAGTGAAATTATCTCAACATGTACTTAAGTACAGCACTGGAATGTAATCAGTTACTCTTAATCGGAAGGTTATAGCTATCAGGATTTTAGTAAATGTATCATTTCCTTTGAGAAAAAGAAAAAATGTTCTTTGAAATACTTTAGATCAATATAAATCAGGATAAATGTGTCAAATAACCCAGACACATATTTTCTTGAAAATGAGGATTTTACAGTCACTTCAGTCTCCATGTGATAAATGAATGCAGCAATCTTTGAAGATTCTCATTATCTCCACACTTCTGTGTCAAAACCTTTTAACGGGAAGCTTACGACACATTAGAGCAAGTGCAAGCAATAACACTCAGCGTGATCCCAACTCACAAGCTCTGTGAGAATCTATCAATATTTGATTATACGAAGAAAGTAACACTCGTATTTCTTTTCTAACCACCAGCTCTGTCGGGCTGTGATTGTGCCATCCTGATTTACAGCTACAGAATAAAAGCAGTGCTGATGTATTTTTAATAGTTACCTCCGACAGAGCCAAGAGCCAGACAAGTGATGAATTACACACAGCCACATCTTGAAAGAGCTGCAGCACTCTGACCTGAGGAGCTCTTGGAGTGATTAGTTATCTTAACTTTCTATACCAGAAGATCACAGGAACAAGAACAACAACATTATTGTTCCACATTGAAACAAGACAACAAAAAAAGCCACAACAATGCTAAAAATAAATAATTAAATGCAAAAGATAACTGACATGATAACTGTGTCTCGACAATAAAGGCACTGGTTGGCCCAAATAATACACATAAAGGTAAATATAACAAATTATTTACAATTATAAAAAATATACATACAAAATATTTAAGTAAAAGAAATGAAACATTTTTTAAAGAAGTAATAATATATATACATTTTTTTATAAAACGGACAAGTCAAATCAAGCAATCTGATTGGTTCTTAGCCGTGATATACTGAGCGTATATACCACGGGTAGAATTGTAGTTACTTTTCACAACAAGTCAGTATCCCTCCGCGTCTGAGAAAAACTGTATACAGTTGGGCTGAAAAGCAAACTGCATGCTTCACGTCGGGCCGAACCACGCCCCTTAGCTGTGATATACTGAGCATATACCACGGCCTGTCGTGAGCTATTGCTTAAATAATTAATACAAATAATGGTTACTTTCCATGTTCAATGCATGCTCCCAAATTAATCATAATTAAAGGCCTTTTTTTCCTTTCCACTGGCCTGAACGAGTCAGATTTTTCGTAAAAGAAACAAAGCTATCAGACACAAGTACGGGCAAACAAAAATAATAGGACTCAAGAGCACAACCAGGCAAAAATATCTTTAGTCAAGCATTTAATCCAAAAGGTAAAAATAAAACCGGCCTTGATCAAACATTTTACTGACTGGAAGCAACGAAAAACAACCAACTAAGTTGGCGGATAACTACTAAAGAAGCAACAAAAAAACAACCAACTAGGTTGGTACAAATGCTAAGCAGCTAGAACAATAGCTTACGTCAGGAGAGAAACATGGAGCACTTTCTGCTATACAGACAAGACCAAGGCACTGACCAAGGAAACAGCACAGACTAAATACACAGGTGGAGTAATGATTAGGGACAGCTGAGGCTCATTGAGGCCAGGCAGGTGATTAACAGGGAGCGAAAAATACACAGGTGAGGGAGTGAGGCGATCAGCCAGGGCCAGGATGTGACAAAAGCTATGAGATGCTCATCATGGATATCAACAATTTACATAAGAGTAAAAAAAGATTTTCCTTTTTTACAGAGACAATAAAACAGACTATAAACTAGTGATGTTACGTATTGCGCCGAGGCTTCGGAGCGTGTGTCGAGTAATCCCCGAAGCTTTTTGTGAAGCATGTGTCGAGGCTTGTATCGTTTTGGGCCAGTGACGTCATCGATGACAAACGAAGCCTCGCTGCCTGTCAATAACCACGTGACTGCTTCACGAAGCGATTCAGATCGGTTGAACCGTTGAACCACAACGCTCATAATACCCATGGATGGATGTATAATAAGAACGATATTACCCCTCCTGTATCCGGGCCCGCTGGTGACACGATGGAATTAAAAGAGCTCAAAACCTCACCTAGAGGTCGGAACATGTCATAAGTATAAATAGATACAAGCATAAATAAATGTAGGAAAAAAAACATGAATGAATAAATACAGGAATAAATATGTTACAGTGTTTTCAGGGAGATTTAGCGTGTGTGCTGTGGCTCAGCTGGAAAGTAGTTGACACGATAGCAGACAACGACTGGTTCAACGACTCGTCAATACGTCTTTTTTGTTGTTTATAAAAGCTACAGCTAAATGAGATAATGTAGTTAATAAATGTATTCTTTGAATTGGTTTAGCCTTTCTCAGGCTACAACATGGTTACGTTTATGAATATTAGTAAGGAATACAAATCTCTATTTGCAATGTTTACCAGCCTCCTTAGGCTTTTCAATCACAATCATTCAACTGGAATAAAAACAATATTGTTAACATGAAAATATGACTTTATGTTCGTTGTTTAGAAGTTATTCTAAGGCTTTACTCAATGGGAACTCGGTATGAGATAGAGCACACTGTTGAGATGTCCAATCTGCCTGTTTTAGACACTTTGACCATCAGGGGGTTTGTGTTCAAATGAAGCCGATGATGAAGCCTCATGAGATGAACCCTTTTGCGAACCAATTGGCTGGAAAGCTTCATAAGGCTTCATCTCGCCATCACTACTATAAACCGTATGATGAGCTGTGATGAAAATAGATGCAAATGTATTTTGAAAAATAATACTCACCGCCGGTTAGGATGTAAAATGGAAATTCTCATTTTAATCCAATAATTGCATTTTCCCTAATGATAAAATAAATTCCACCTGAAAATTAAATAACAAGTCCCACATGTGTCACTCTGCAATCTCATTTCCACACACAAATGCATGCAAACAGCATGTTGGGACTGCTAAATCTGGCTCTGAAGTGTTTGAAAGCACAACAACTTTAATAAGAGGGAGGGAGGGGTCAGAGGTCATCAGGAGGTCAGGGTTCACGCTGGTAAATGAGAGCACAGGGGCCATCTGCTGAGCCGGGAACAATGAATCATCTCCTCTAAGGTAGGAGATGGGCGAAAGGAGTGAGTCAGACTTAAAAAATAATCAGCACACATTAGCATTTTAAAGATTTGGTTGCTGCCCTTGGTCATCTTGAGTTTAAGGGTCAAATGAAAATCCAGAGACTCATGACATTTCAGACGAGGAGGTCAGACTCTGACCTCCTCGTCTGACCGTCAGAGGGAAAGTTCTGTGGCAGAACCCAGAAGAGAGAAATATTGTAGATTTGGAAAAGTGAAAGATGAAGAGACAAAAGTGAAAAGGAGAATGTTTATCGTATTATCTTTTATTCATGGGTGCATAAACAATAGCGTGCAACTTTATTCTTGACCTTGGAGATAACTCAAGGTACACTTTTTCGAGTTCAATCAGGAGAGACTTCATTTTGTTTAAATAACATTTATTGACACATGCCATATGATAAATATTAAGTCTTGGCGATTAGACAACGACCCTGAAATCGTATATCTAAAGGGGGAAATGCAGCCGTGAGCATATAGGGAACCCCCCGGGGTCTAGACACTGGTGATGATGCTGAAGATCTGGATTTGATGAGGAGATGGGATGAAGAGGAGGTCTGATGAGGACTTTGGATTAACTCTCCTGGAACTGGATGTGATGAAAGGAGGTGGATGGGAAGGAGGCGGGCGGCAGCATGAACACCTGGAATCACAGCTGACTGCAGGAGAGAGGAGAACCATTTTATAGTTTGGCTACAGCACAGTGATTGGCTGCTGGAGAATGAGGTGAAATGTAATAGGTTAAAGAGAACGCCTGTGATGAGCTGATTATATGCAGTTGCGGAGTGAATGTATATATACCCAGTCTTCCTGAAAGAACTTGTGCTGAGCTTCATTGCATTTAAACCCGATTTAAACACATCGCAAGTGGATGGATTTGCTTGCTATTATCTTACATAATGCTGGAACT